GAATCACATGAAGATTTAATTTCACCTTTGGTATAATTGAAATTTCTCCATCAGCATGTTCAGAAGAACGCATAGAAGATCGGCTGACCTTAGCTTCCACAATTTAATATATGTAATTTGATAATCCAAAAATTTGCGAATATTCGATGCAGTAATTTGCCTTTAAAGGAATCCAATTAGAGTACGTATAAACATGTTGTTTTTCTAACTTATTAAATTTCAGATATTTGGATATTGGAATATAAGATTAAGGTTTCTTGTAGTTGAGCCAGTGAATTTCATGCCATGATAGAAACATAAAAATTTAATCTGAATCATAAAATATCCATTAAATAAATGTTTAAAACCTAAATTTAGCCATGATAAAACAAGATTCCCGCTGACGCTTGAAATGAAATCAGTAAAGATATTGCTTTTGAAGTCGAAACAATTTCGATTAACTTTATTTAACTTTCAGCTATCCTTTTTAACCTATGGCCAAATGACTATAAACATTAGATAATTAAATAATCATTGATTACTCTTTAAATTTTGTATTTCAGATTTGGATAGATATATGGTTAAAACAAATTACAACATTACGCGGCAATATCTAATGCTTCAGAAACACCATCGTTGTGCTACTTAATTTATATATGTAACCACAAAAAAGATCAGAATTGGATACAGTAGGATTCATAAGGTCTCAAATATTTTCCTAAAGGAGGGGTGCGCAATAGACTTACCTCTACGTGGTGCACCCTGGACAATGTATCTTCGTACGGCAAAAAAGTCTTGATCGGCAGTTGACTTCTGACTTCAAATTTCCATGGCCCGACTATTTTTCATATTCGACCCCTTTCGCAGTACTCATCTTACCCTTTTTATGCCTTTGTGTCCGCCTTTCTGTCTCTTTCACCTCTGTAAATCATTATTCTGTCTCCCATCTCGACTTTTTGCCACTTTGATGTCCCTTCTCTTCTTCGTGAAGCCCCGAAGTCAGCTTCAGGGCTAATGATAACTATCTAAACGCCTGCCATTTGATATAAATAAATTTTCCTAAAGGAATCTGAATATTCCTTTCCTTTTGAAAACTTCCTTATTATCTTTTAATACATTACCATAAAACTTAAGTGGTCCACTCTAGTAAGAGAATTTTTGAGAACTCAAGCTCCTCACTTCCATTATACCTCCATACAACGAAGATGAGACCGTCTTTTAATTGATAAATTGAATCTAAACTAACTAGTTCAAAGTCAATGCCCAAAAAAATCAGCCAAACAACGGTTTGTTGCGTACAATATATTAAAAATAAATAATTAGTTAATATGTGGTGCTATTAAACGGAAATATATTTTAGCGAAAAATTATAGATGGCAAATAAAAGCCCAATATCTAATAATAGGAAATATTTCATTTATTAATAATTTATGAAAAAGGTAATTTATATTAAGTTTTACAGTCAACAAAAGGCGAAACAGATATCTTCACTAATAATTGACTTTACTTTGGAATCAATTGGGGTGTGCGATAGGGTGCATCCTGGGCAACGTATACTCATACGGCAAAATGTCTATTAACTGGCAGTTGACTTCTGACTTCAAAATACCCTCACCCCATTGTATGTCATATTCGACTACTTCCACAGTACTCACCTCACCTTTTCTCTACCTTTTCTACCTTCGTCTTTGAAACACTCTTCTGTTCCCCCCCCCTCTCGACTTTTTTCACTTTGATGTTCCTCCTCCCCTCTGTGAAGCCTGAAGTCTACTAAAGGGCTAATGATAACTTTCACAACGCCTGCCATTTGGTATAAATAAATACTTTGGAGTCAATTTAAAGGGGCTTTTATCGTTGGGAAGAATTTTTTTGCAGATCGAATTTCAACACAGTGCTTTCATTTATTCCACTGGGAAAAGGAATTATGTGATAAGTGCCTTGATCAAATTAAACAAATGGAGATAAATTAGTATTCGCAGATTGAATGCGAAAAAAATAAATAAATGAAGCGTGAGAAGTGGAATGGGAGCAGAAATGAAGTCCAAACATCATTTTGTAGAAATAAATAGAAAGTCATCTTTCAACCTCCTTGTACCCATGGAATTTGGGGGCAGTATTTGCTGAGAGTTTAGAACAAAGTTGCACCTTTCTTCTATAAGTATTTACGCACAATTGAAAGTTCCGGTTTAAACTGGCGCCATGGTCGTGATTTTCCGCAATTCGTTAACTGGTCTGTTGCTTACTACGAGTTCTTGGCTAGCTGGCCTTAGTCAAACAGCCAATAAGATTCAAGAAAAGAGTATATGAATAGGAATTTTTGAAATTAATGCTATTTATTAAAAAGTGATGATTTGGGAATGGGGTGTGAGATAGACTTACCTCCACGTGGTGCACCCTGGGCAACGTATATTCATACGGCAAAAAAGTCTATTAACTGGCAGTTGACTTCTCACTTCCAACTACCATCACCTCACTCTATGCCATATTCGACTATTTCCACAGCAATCACCTCACCTTTGTTCTACCTTTGTGTTTGTCTCTTACATCTTTGAAACACTCTTCTGTCCCCCCCCCAATTTTTTTCAATTTGATGTTCTTTCTTCTCTGTGAAGCCTGAAGTCAACTAAAGGGCTAATGATAACCATCAAGACGCCTGCCATTTGATGTAAATATGATTTGGGAATAAACACGACTTTTCTTCCGGTTCACATTATCGTCAAATAAGAAGCAATAAATCTGCCAATTTTCGACTGATAGTAATTGGTGCCTCCAAATGACAGTGCTAAAATTTAAAATTAAATATTTCCTTTGAACAATGGAACTCTGCAATTAAAAGGTAACAAATGTGTGTGTGTGGGGGGGGGATAGTTATTTTAATCCCAATGAATGACATGGGAACAATGACAATGGGCATTGATATTTCTTTTGTTAGTTTGTTTGGGTAGGCTGTAACCCCTACCGGCGCTTGGGCTCATTTTGTAGCCTAATGGGGGTGATTTTGGTATTATATTTCATTTAAATGCTGTCATTGTGTTACATTTTTTCTGTCAAGGTAGATTTCTGCATTAATTGAGTGCAGTTTCTGTGCTATCTTTATACCCATACACATACATAAAGATATTAAACGCATTTTTGCATATCATAATAATTCAATTAAATTAATGCCCTCACATAGAAGCTATATTTAAAAAAGAGGCGGGAATTAAAATAGGAATAAAATGAAAAGGTAAGCAACGAGGATAGGAGTTAAAAATTTATTTATATCAAATGGCAGGCGTTTTGACGGTTATTATTAGCCCTCTAATTGACTTCAGGCTTCGCAGAGGGGAAGAAACATCAAAGTAAAAGAAAGTCAAGAGGTGTGGGGGGGGGGAACAGAAGAGTGTTTCAAGGACGAAGGTAAAAAGGTAGAAAAAAGGTAAGATGAGTACTGTGAAAGTGGTAGAATATGACATACAGTGGGATGATGGTAGTTTGAAGTGAGAAATCAACTGCCGGTTAATAGACTTTTTTGCCGTATGAGTATACGTTGCCCATGGTGTACCACGTGGAGGTAAGTCTATCGCACGAATTACATCTCAGAGTGATTAATTTAAGAAAAATATTTTCATTGACAAGTTTATTTATTTATTTAAATTTTAATTGATAAGTAGATATTTCCACTTCAATTTACCATATACCAGTGTTTTAAGTAGTAAATTAAATTATTTGTTGCACATGTATCTATTTTTAATAGAATTTAATTATGATAGACTTGACTATTGCCATATCTGTAGCGGATTGCTACCTTAGTAAAGCCTGCTGACTCAGAACTCTCTATGGCAGATCCTCCTACAACTAGCTAGACTCACAGAACCAGCTAAGCTATAGCCCAACAATATAGGAAACAGACGTGTAGCACGGAGCACGTTTATTCGGTGAGTATCTTGCGGATCAAGTGTACATGTAGGGGGCCTAATCATGATCAGGATGGGGGATTAGGTTAAACAGAGGTTGATGATTGGTCACTGTTTGTACGGTCGCTGCACACAGAGTTGTACGGCCGCACCTCCCAATCCTAGCATGCAGGCATACGATAACGCACATGCTTAAAAAATTCTTGATTTATTTCTAATATTCATAACTATCCCATTAACTCATGATCTTACACCCGGGGCGTGCGATAGACTTACATCCACGTTGTTCAATCTTGGAAACATACGGCAAAAAAGTCTATAAAACATCAGTTGACTTCTGATTTCACACTACCATGACCCCACTGTATGTCATATTCCACCACTTTCACAGTACTCCCCTTACCTTTTCTCTGCCTTTGTATCTGTCTCTCTCTTTTACAAGCTTGAATCACTTTCCTGTTTCCCATCTCGAATTTTTCCCACTTTGATGTTCCTCCTCCGCTCTGTGAAGCCTGAAGTCAGCTAAATGGCTAATGATAACTATCTAAACGCCTACCATTTGAATTAAATAAATAAATACATAATAAACGCCTACCATTTGAATTAAATAAATAAATAAATGATCTTACACCCAACCCCACATCATCTCTGTAACCACAACTCCCTCACACTTACACTCCAACCACTGAGTTTCTACAACCTTGGCACATTTCTTCAATCCTTACCACGCTATTTCCAGCATTCAAGATCTTTGACCGCCTCCTAAACCTTGAAAGCTGCGTTGTGTTACGCAAATATACTTTCAAGGTCACTTTCCTTCTTCTACTTACTCGACTGTACTGTACCTTTAATCGATGACACACTCGTATATAATTCATTCAATAAAAATGCATTCCTGTTTTAAGCGAACTTTCAGTCTGATTGCGGATTTATTAAGGCTAATTAATCAACCAACCAATTCGCAGTATTTATTAATGAAATATTCGGACTGATCAACAGCCACCCCGATGTGGGTTCTTAATTTGACATATTCATAATAATATTATCGAAAATAATGAGTTTAGTAAAGAATGTTGATATATCGGCAAAGAAGTGCGTAATAAAATGATAATTTTGGATAATTTATTAATTATCCGACTCGGATGACAACTGCATTTGAGGAACTTCTTCACCCTCGATGCACAATTTGAAGGAGCCTTCCTTGTTTCCTTGGGGTTCCGAATAATTTATTATAACCGCCTTCTTTCCCAATAAGAGGAAGTCCATACGCACCATGTGGTCGTCGATCGTTGTCTAAAGTGATAAAAGAGTCATGAAGGAGCGATGGAGAGGAGTGGAGTTCAGGACTCCGCATTAAAGGAACCGCCCACTTAGTGTAGTAAATAGATTAGAGCATGAAACAGTTAATGGGGTGTGCGATAGACTTACCTCCACGTGGTGCAGCCTGGGCAACGTATACTCATACGGCAAAAAAGTCTATTAACCGGCAGTTGACTTCTCACTTCAAGCTACCATCACCCCACTGTATGCCATATTCTACCACTTCCACAGCACTCATCTTACCTTCTTCTTCTTCACCTCACATTACCTTTTCTCTGCCTCTGAGTTTGTCTATTTTACAAATGCAAACCACTCTTCTGTTCCCCACCCATTGACTTTCTGTTACACTCTTTTACAAATGCAAACCACTCTTCTGTTCCCCACCCATTGACTTTCTGTTACTTTGACGTTCCTTTCTCTGTGAAGCACGAAGTCAGCTAAAGGGCTAATGATAACTATCGAAACGCCTCCCATTTGAAATAAATAAATAAATAAAACAGTTAATAATAATGTTGGCATCTATGGAATTGGTGTTCAACAATGCTCGTGCTGCTTAATTTACAAACAAATCATTAATTCAACAAACTATATGCTGATCAAAACACACTTAGGAGTGGGGGGAGAGGGGTTATATCAGCCATAATTAATAAAATTTGATCGCTTCCGATAAATTTAAACATCAAAATAATGCAAGTAAATCGACTTTCATTCCCTTATCCACAAAAACAGACTTTAATTTTATTTTTTTATTATTTTTATTTTCACATTCATCTCTATTGTTTCATTAAATATTAACGCCCTAATGACTTACATTGTAATCCAATCGTTCATCCTCAAACCAAATGTTCATTGAAGATTTCTCTAAAAATTATGAAATAGTAAAAGGCGGAAAAAAACGAGAGCTCATTATCCGCCAAACATTTCCTCCAACTTACGCAAAGCGATACTCTGTTCTTTGCCGTCAATTGTCGGTTTCCAAACAATTGTATCCTCAGATGGCTTGTAGATGCAAAATGAGCTGTATTGTTTAGGAAAAATTAATGGTTCATTAACGACGACGGTGGTAACCACTATTGTACATCATCAAGTCCTTTATTATTATACTCAAAACACAAAAGCCTGGGTTAAAAATTAATTAATGTGAAAGACAACTTGCGCTGAGAGTGGTTTATTTAAACGGAATGAGCCAACTTTACCGTATTATTTGGGAATTGACACGAAGCAAAGAAACGCCGGTTTTCTTTTGTGAACTAAAAAAAACACCAAGTGGTAATTTTTCCAAAATTTTTTTTAAAAAAACAAAAGTATTAATTACTATCGCGTTTAGTTGCGATTTCAATTATGAGAGAGGCATTGCATATTTCATTTATTTTAATGTGTCTGATTTTAAGAAATGACGCACCACTAAGACCGCTTTCAGCTTCGTTATAAATTGTATTCAAAATTCACAGTTAAAATTAATATTTTTTGTTAATAACTATTCTAGCGGTCAAGTTTCGATTATGCTTAATCGATAGGTACTTTCAATCAAATTATAGGCAAATTTAAGTTAGAAATAATTTTGAGTTAACTAAATGTTTAATGTTCTACGATGGTGTTTATCTTAATAGATTCATTATTGTCAATTTATTAATTGTCATTTAGTTTACTACAAGTATTTTAGATTACTTATTTTCGTATTTGAAAATTTGATTACCCTGAAAATATTTCAAATTTTTCTTCTCATATAAATGCTTTATATTAATTTAAAGTAATAAATGGTAGATCTCTCAAAATCAATAATTTTGATCGATTTGAATTTTTCATTTATACTGGGGTAATTATAAATGATATACACCGATTAGGCATAAAGGCAAATGGGTAAAAATGATAATTTATTTAATTAGGAGTTTATGGTATTGCACTAATAAGTTGGAGAGTAAAAAAATTTAATAAACTTGAGTTACCCACTTTGAAACCGATAATTATATCCTCAACATCTCTTGATTACTTAGCTACTGAAAGGACCTAATTGTTTGGAGCTGATCTCAACTCCTGGTTGGCAATTAGTACGGACCATCGACTTACTTGGTAAAACTCGTAAGATTTATGAGAGAACTTACAGATCACCTGCATTGTTAATTTGGCTCTTCAGTCTTTTGCCTTCCTCATTGCGGCCTTTCACAATGGCGGCGCTCTTCTTGTTGTCAAAAAACAGTATAGACATGCCAGTGGATTTGATGTTTCCGCAATCGCTTCCCACAAAATGTGAATTCCCGTTTTATATTCTCCACACTTTGTCCATTGGTCCATTCATATCACACGTTGCAGCTTTGTGGAACTATATTACCCGTCACCACATCTACGGTTGCTTAGGTGAATACGCGCATTCAAAAGAGTCAGATTGTTACATCTCAGTGAGTATAA